TTTTTTTTTTTTTTTTTTTTTGAAATTTTATAAAGACTGCTACACAAAATATTGTGACCAGAATAATAGATTGCAAGGAAATAGGTTCCATCACAATAATGTATATAATTCCATCGTGCTGGTCCAACGCTTTTGAGGATCCTCAATATATATAATTTTTTTTTTTGTTTTGTTTTTTATATTTTTAATTTTATTTTATGTTTGTTTATTTATTTATTACGCCCTCCTAAAATTCTCCGACATCTTTTCGACCCTTTAAAACCCTTTTTTTTTTTTTTGCTGTATTTTTCTGTTTAAATTTTAGTCTTTTTTCTCTTCTACCGTCTCCTTTTCGACAGTTTCTTCTTTGTTATCTTTTTCAATGTCCTCCTTTTCGTTCAGTTTTTCTTTTTCGGTGTCCTTCTCCTTCTCCTTTTCCGATTCCTTCTCTTCTCCACCTTTCTCTTTATCTTCGGCATCTTTCTCCTTTTCTACTTCGTTCTCTTTCTCCTTCTCCTCTTTCTTCTTTGGCAAATGAGTGTTCAATTCCAAATTCTTGCACATTTCGTCCCAATCGGGCCAATAGGCTTTCTTCATTCTATCCACAAAAGAGACCAAATTGGAGCATTCCCCTTCCATAAAATCCTTGATGTCGGCAAACGGTACGAAGTAAAATTGGCAGATGTTAGCAAAAGCCACGCAATCCAGCTAAAACAATGGCGGAAAGAAAGGGGGAAAAGAAAGAAAAAAAGAAAAAAAAATTCATCATTATCGTCGTCTATAAACAACGCATTCCTATGACATTATGTAACGTGTTACAAGGCGGAACCACTACTATTCGCTTCACTTACCAGATGAGGTTCGTTGCCGAAGAAGTATGGTTTTTCGGCCAGACAATCGCTCAATGCCTTCAGGTCAGCCTTGCCAAATTCGTAGATTTCTTCGGCGGTATGACGTCCGAGACCGTGACCGATGGCCCGTTTCACGTTCTACACGACATTCAAACGAAAAATTCGTCACTTTTGTGGCTAAGAAGTTTATTTTTTTTTTTTTTTTATTTCTTTACGATTTCTCTGTATACTTACGTTCTTAAATGACATACGGAAGAAGAAGTTGACAATCCCTTTGGGCATTTTGGAGTTAAAAGTGCGCTTGACGTCCATCTGAGATATACGTAAAAACTGACCTGGGTGGCTGTATCTCCACCAACGGACAACCCTGAAAGAATATATATTTGTAAATATTTTGAATCCTAATCCACACATACCCTTAAACAGTCGATCCTTCCAGAGATATCACTGTAAATTCCCTCGTTGTAACGTAACCTTGTCGTCGTGCCTCTTCCTCCCGATACATACAAGCAAAAATTTTGGCTAAAGCTTGACTTTATCGTATAATTTAATTGAGATGCCAGAATTTTAAGCGTGCCACCAATTGAATAACGACTTACGTCGATCCCTACCGATTGAAGAAACGTAGAAGGCCTTCTTCACACCGCAACTGCTGCACCAAATTTGGTCCCGGTTTACATTTACATCGAAAGAATGGAATTTTAAAAATCACCCTGCGATATTTACCTTGAAAAATGCTTCCAAAAATAAGCACGCCATTATATTTTTAGCGCCGTCGTAGTTTAGTACAAAAAATGCAATAATTTTTGTAGACATTGAACGGGGACGATGATGATGTTGATGATGATGTTGATGATGACGATAATGTCTTTTGTAATATCATCATTATCTGTAGAAAGGGAGGGAGGATTGAGAGAAACACTCGAACTTTGATAATGACTTTATAACTAAGATAATACGATAAAGGCAAAATTTAGCGTGGAAAAATTCGGAAAGTAATGCAAATTAATTCGCAAATAAAAGACAAAGTATTACTTAGAAGAGAGTTTAAGTAAAATTTCGTTGAAGAAACTTCACTAAATACTAAAGAAATGCCATTAAGGAAACCCTAATGGAATCACAGCCCATGCTACTTCATAAACATCAATCCCCATTTAAACGTATCCATTAAGATTATTAAGAAAATTTTAAGTAGATTCGGCTATAAGAGAAAAATATCACGTAAAATATTAATTAAGAATATCTAAATATTCAATACGAAATTGCGTAAAAGGAACATTTAAAAAGGTAAGTCGACGAGACAACACCCAACTTGGACTTTGTACAAGCTCGTAAATGTCATATTTGTTTACGATTGATATGCCCAGGTTGGGCGTAGTTTTGCATCCGAGTTTATGCAGCGTAACGATATCTTTCACAAGAAAAATATGAAGGTCATCCTACCAATTTCTAACAGGAAAGAATCTATAGTATTTACAAGATAGAAGTAAGGAAGTTAGGTGGATGAGGGGAGGAAGAAGAAGAAAAAATAAAAAATAAATAAATAATACGATTTGGTTTACATATCAGGAATCTTCTTTCACAAACTCGATATCGGCATCACTCGTTCTAATCTTACCAGGGGGGCCACAACCGAAATTCCTAACTCCAAGGAGAGCGTGTGGCTGCCTCACGAGTCCAAGGACGTTTCTTGAAGGGGGATCCTGCTGTTGCGATGTAACAGCTGCAAACTAAAGCATGCTAAGAATGAACAGAAAAAAAAGTTAAAAAAAAAAATTGGGAAGGTTCCCTATTGGGTGACGAGCTCTTTCTTATAAGCTCTTACATGCAAAAGAGGTTGGATGGTGTATAGAATTAAAAAATATTTCTGTTTAGGGTGCCTCAAGTTGACGCATTCCATTGCGAAGAATGTATGTGTGTGTACCTTTCTTTAATGTACTCCTTTTTTTTTCCTTTTCGTGAATCACGAATTTACATTACTGTCCATGCCATAAACACAAATTAGTGTCGATTATAATGGCAGAAGTATGGAGGCCGGAAGTTGTTAATTGGTTTCACCAAACACACGAAAGATAAAACTGGTGAGTCATAAAGATATTGGACTAAAAATGACAAACAAGAACAACCTCGTGAAGCTAATATGTAGAACGTGACGAATGCGTGACGGTAGGAATCGAACTTCCCAGAAACGTGACGGGAATTTAATGTTAAGAGCAGGATCGTGGCCCATAGTAAAATTTGAACGGAAACAGGAAACTTAGTATTGGCAGGAAGCGTATAAAAAACATTGCGTAAATCAACACAAAACATGGAAAAAAATATGTCGAAACTTACCAACTAGTATGGTTATTGAGCATAGAAATGAAGGCATGACTGATATTTCGTTGATCGGGGGTCAAATCTTGATTCAAATCCTTATCGTACATTTTAGCCAACTCTTTAATAATAATATCCGAATCGGCTATTTCTCTTCCGTTTATCTCCACGAAAGGAAGTTGACCTTTCTTTGACTTGAACCTCATCTTGTGATCGACATTCTGTAAAATAGAATATAATAAATTAATGATAATGAGCTTAATTTGTGTGAGGTTGTTTTTCCTCCCTCTTCTTTACGTAGTCAAAACGTTTATAGGGATAAATAATATATCATTAGGGAAATTCCAGCAATGTAGGGACGTCAGTGATCCGAGAAAGAAAACGTTTCAGTCACGCCTCTCAAATGATTGAGGAGGAGAGGAAATATTATCCTTTTTCGCATCATCTATTGAAGCAAGCAATCCTTACGGATGGATGAACACTTCGACGTTTGATTTGGAATTTTTTAAGTGATGTAATTTGTTATATTGAGTTTAATTTAAACATAGGAATTCCTATCTGTCCATTGCATCTTGTAGATTTTTCTCTCTTTTTTTTTTTTTAACCGAACGTCAAAGATGAGGGTGCTTCAGCTCCATGAAATATTCAATAAGCAAAGAGAGGACAATTGTTTTCACCAGCTTCACTCGTAAATGGTGCACGAAAAACTAAGCTTTATGTCTGCATACATAAAGGGAATTTTACAGAATAAGCAATTTTAAACGTATTTTAGTAGAAGTGGTTCTTAATTTTAAATCACCGCATCCTGTTAATCAACAGAAACGAAATTCACAGAAATCATTTCCTTCCTCCTTCTATAGTTGCATTTTTTATAATAAATCTGTGAGTGTGCCTATTTGTGGGCGATGGAGGAAACATTGCCAAGATACGAGCGCATTAATCACTTCCTGTTGAGCTCATCATTAATCAATAGGGGGGTCATCGTAATGATCGGATATCTGCCCATCCACTTGATCATTTTACAAGCTGTTAGCTATGAAAAAGAATAAATATGGGACATTCTCTACCTAACTTAAGACATATTTATCAATGGATAAAGGGCATTTTTACCTAATCTTCTCCCTATAAAATATCTTTTTTTGTCAACAGACAAGAGCGATTTTAAACTAGGTTTATTCTCTTTACTTCTACTTGAAGTCATATCTTATCTATTCTAGATAAAATGCATGGAATATTGAATGTATCTGTTCCATTTTATTTGAAAATTCCTTCCTGTGCATTAACGAACGCTCGAATAGCTACAAGTTTGCTAATTTAAGCGAAAGATCAAAGGAATAATCGAACTCTTGAAGAAAATTGGTTGAAGTAATCCCTTTCAAGCAGTGTAAATCTTTGAAAGCGAATCGATTATCAAGAGTGGAAAGATCCTCCATAACTCCTTCAAACGTAATCACACTACAGGGATACGATACCACAGTTCAGTTGCACTGAAATTTATTCGTTGGAGTGCCCATATCTAGGATCAATATAGGGATTTTAAACGTGAGAAAATTTAAGAAAAATCGTTTAGGATAAAAGTTTTAAATCGTTGTTGCTGTCTTTACTTTTCTTTTAGTTTTTTTTTTAAATAAAATGAATAACTGTTTTGGTATCTTAATTATGAAACCAAGGAACCAAGGTCAGACAAGACGACTGACTCAGACGTTCGTAGAAAAACAATCCTGCGCTTCCTGTGTACGATCTTCATACTTAAAAACGTGCTTGATATAATTTATAAATTTCTCCCCCAATAAAAATAAAATCATATTTTTCGGCTCGAAATGCATTTTTTTTTCCTTTGCTCCATCACCATTCACTTTGATGACGTGTTTACGCAATATGTTTTTCCGCGCAGTTTTTCGTCTTTTCCCATTCCATCAACAGAAATCTCAAATTTCAGCAAATGGAGCGGATCTACCAGATGCTAGGATGAACTAAGAATAGAAGGGAGATAGATGAGGCACGTGCCAAGGAGTAAGAGGTCGGTCGGTCGAGAGGACCCCGAATAAAAAGAACGAGCCGGACAGAAAAGTCCATCTTGCAACGTCTGCACAAACGGAATTATTTCGACCCCGTATATTGCCATCGAGTATTGATTTAATGGCGATTTATGTCATCCACTTACGTTTATTGCAGAGTGGTATCGAATAAAATAACGCCGCATTCTCTTTATTGAAGTCTCTGTTTGTAGAATGGTTCTAAGCTTTCTTGCAATCTGTAAACTCAAATAAAATGCGAAAGAGGGAAAGTGAATTGTAAAGAAAATAGACTGCACCCAACCATTTTTTTTTTTTATCAGATTTTTACTGTCAAAAATACTGGTACGAACCAATCTTGCAAGTTGGATCCGTTAGTTTTTTTTATACTAAATCCTCAGGAACAAGATTTGCGGTCGATCTTCTAAGATTATCATCATCATTTTATGGTTCTGCACTGCCCTGTTGGTTTCGGGTCGAACAGAATTCATCAATACTACTTTAAGAGGTCACATTGAGTGTGCAAAATCGATCCACTCTCTTTCTCTCTCTCCTGTGCTATTATTTTTTTTTGTTCTTTACGATCTTATATTAAAACTACATTTTCTCATTGCTGATGCACGTGATTTATTAATTAAGAGCTGAATTTTTGCAATACAAAGCACTTAAAACGCTGAAGGCTAATTTGAAAAGATTTATCGCAACGTCAGCATCCGATTTTGCAATAAATCTATCATCAAAAAAAAGAAGACAATAACCAGGAGATCATTATCTTACTACTTGCAAAACGGGCATGCAATATTGGTATCTAGTTTCCATTGATTTATCCAGCCATCCCGAAGTTAGTTTGTGTGCAGGTGTGACATCGGAGATCACGCACCATGCCAATAACAGTCAATAATTGATCGGCATTAAAACAGCCGATTGTGTCATTAACAATACCAATCTAAACAATCGAATGAGTCATATTTTGCCACAGCAATTTTCGGGAAAAAAAACGTGTATAAATTCACTCACTCCCTCTTTTTATTTTCTGTAATTAATTATTAAATAGTCTACTGTATAATACACTTTCTACTGTGTTTATTTAATTAAAAAAAATTAACGTTTAATGCGGGGAATCGAACGTAAAAACGAACCACGAAACGCACAGTTGAGTTCCTCTCTTGCCACACTCAAGTGCTCCAACGAGTATTTGATTTAAAAGCCATGTTTGCCGATTATCTCCGACTTAATCATCATTAATTGAGAGTTTTTTCGTTAATGAAGACAGGAATTTCTTTTCTTAACGACCACTGGAAGTTTACGCGTAAAAAAAAAATTACAATGCAATTAAGTATTTTATCTTTTTCATATGGAAGAGAGAGAGAGAGAGAGAAAAAAAAAAAGGATAACGAGCTTAATTGTTGAAAGGCGAAATTTGTGAAAATCCTTATAATTCTAGTGGAAAATATCCGTTAGAAATGAGATTTTCCTTCGACGAATTAAAAGAATTTTTTAGAGGTCAACAACATCTGTAGACGAACACGTGTGGCCTAGCCTTAGAGGGTCCCATCTGGTCTGTCTTGAGTCTCCAGACAACCTCTAAATGGGATGACCCGAGGACATTTGATCAAACACGTGCTTACAAGAAGTACCTGAGTGGATTTTGGATTTACACACACTCTAAACGGGGAGAGAGATACGTTGTATAATCCGTTTTACTAACATTTATGTTTAGCGAGACTTTTAAACAACGAAAAAAAAAAAAAATGGCGTCAAATCTCATCTGCAACGCGTTAGGATAGCATTTCAACATATGCAACAGATTTATTCCAAGGTTCAAATTTCATTTCATCTTCAAACAGTGTAAATTTCGGTTATAATTGCGGTTAGAAAATTATACATTAAGACAATTTAATTGCAAGACGAATACCGGATTCACCTCAGGCTTTTTTTTTAATCTCCCCTTTTTTTTTGTGGTGCCAAGGCTAACTTAGTTGATTTGGCCCTATTTAACAAGGAGCGAAAAATAATGTACTTTTTCATACACACAAACATATATATATATAAGCCACACATTATAAAAAGTCCTATCAACCGAGAGGGAGGGGCCCAATTACGAAATCAAAAGGAATTTGATAGCGAGAAGTCGGGGTCGAGATGCTCTAGCTATGAGTCAGAACAAGGGTACACTGTTGAAATTCTGGATAGAAGAAAGCTACGTTTATAACTAAGAAGATAAGAAAACATCCGAATTTTCTTAATAAACTTATGAGAAAAATTTGGTGTGAAAATATAGAAAATAATAATAATAATAATTTAACACCGGAATATGTTGAAAACAATAGACAATAGTTATATGTATAATGCGATAACTCACCTCGTATTTCAAACCTGTCATCCTAAGCCACGTTTCGACTTTCAAACAAAAAGGTGATATCGATGGTATGGTGGGTGAACGATTGAACTGATAGAGATACACAACATCTTTCTCGTAGTCTGTTTTGTGAACGGTTGGTTTAGCAACGGGAGCCGGTGCAGGAGTTTTGACAGTTTCCGAATTATTACCTGTATTGGTATTATTTTCAGCCGGTGCTGGCGTTTCGTTAGGTGTTTCGACGGCTGTATCGGTCGTCATATTAATTGGCCAATTTATGAGAAAAAAAAAATATATAACCCCACTTCAAAATATGGCGTAGCCTCTCTTCCGAAAGACGTTACTTCTAACTGACTTGCTCTCTTCACAACAGATACCGGACAATGGAGAACGTTCGTACCCTCGTCTTTATTCGTTGATTGCACCCCCTGACGTCACTGCTACGACATGCGCACAAACCCTCCACTAGTTTAACATTGTGACTAATTCTTATCTACAATTTTTGTTCTATTTTTAGCATCAATTTTTGTACTTAATTAGTATCAACCTCGTAAAAAAATATACCTATAAAACCCTTATATTAACCCTCCTGTACTTGTATTTACACGTGTTTAAATTATTTAAATGAAGATTGGAAGTTTGCAATAATTTGCACTAATGTATTGAAGTAAAATTAGTAAAAGATCTGTTAATTTGTTACTAATAGGAAAGTAATGGAGTCCATTATCAATCGGGTTGTTCATCCCCCAAAGAATCCGTGGCGCTTTAATTAAATTTCTAACATCTTTAAAGGGGTGATAATATAATCGATAATTAGAGAAAACACACTATTATTCGGCAATTAAATAAACCAGAAAGGTAGAAAGTAGTACTCGAGCATGTTACTATAATAATCGTCTTACGTGTAGAGATAATACAATCTCCTCGTTTCGTACGGGCAATTACTAACGATAACTTGTAGATAAATCGCGTTAATCATCCGAAATTATATTTTAAAAGTATGTTTCTATTTCGTATTACATCTAAAACTCCGACCTTAATTGTGAAATTTAATAATTTACGTAAGAAATAACTCGATAAACTTGAAGAAGTTAATAAAATGCTAGCGAGATCGTTTGCAACGTAAAAGTTTTATTCGTAAAAGTTAAATAAAAACCAAGTAAATTTGTAGATTTTAATCATTTGCAAGCTTAAATTTTGGAATTTATTAACAGCAAATCCTTAAACTTTGCAAACAGTTCTTAATTTTGCTCGGAAATCGTCTAAGTCCTTACGAATCACCCAATTTACAAGCAAATTTTTTGAGATTTTTGTATAAAAAAAGAGATTTTCAAACCGAAATTTTCAATTTAAAATATTGTAGAAGGTTTGAAATTAGATCTACAAAATAGAACCTTAATTTCGAGCACTTGGCATCATATTTTCACACGGTTTAAATCATATTGCAATCCTTCAGGGATTGCCGAATTTCAATTGAAATACCTTTAAAAACCTTTAAATAATATGATTAAACAGCTTTAAATTATTTAAATATGGGCATTGTTCGTCAAGGGTTTCGTATATAGATTGTACATAGAAGATTCTGAAGTAAATTCAATTAGAAGCGGCATTTGAATAATGATGAGATTTAACTAAGCATAATTCAATCGATGCTTATTAAATATAAACTGTTGACTTTTTAACAATTTCGTTGGTGTTGTAATTTAATTATCTATCAGAATATTTTACAAAAATGATTACTTAATAATCCCTTAGATTTTGGCTATCTCTTTGGAAAGATGAAAGCCCGTGTAAATGGATAACGTCCTATTGTACTGTAGACTTTTATCTCCATTTAACGTCATTCTACGTTACTTAATGGAGTCTCCAACATTCTTTTCTTTAACGTAATCGAGTAAAAAACTGATTAAATTTAAACGCATAATCGATAAATCGCGATTAAAAAATTTCAAATGGCGAAACCAGACCACGTGGTTTTTTTCTCAATTTATAACGATCTCCTGCTATTAATATAACTGGTGTCTTATAAATTATACCTTAATCTTAGTTAATTCGTAATATCATTTTTAAATATAATTAAGTATAAATGTTAGGTAATTCGTTTTAATAAAAATTATATAGAATTATTTTAANCGGTAAAATATTTATTTAATTAATCTAAAATGCGGAATATAAATTTATAATAATGAAAAGTAATAAGAATTATATTAAATATAGATAAATTCGTCTTTTTTAACTGTTAAAAATGCATTAAAGGTGCCTTTTGAAACGAATTTTTGCTTTTACCAGAGATAAAGTAAATAGAAAGAAGAGAGAATTTTATTTGTTAAAAGTAGAAGAATGCACCCAATTTTCTTTTACGTTTATATGTTTGATTTATTTCTTTAGAAAAATTCAGTAAACTTAAAGGTTGTCGTAGCAGCACCGTTTCTTCACTACCATGATGCATAGCGCTGCTAATCGTTACGTGCGCGCCGTTCCGCGTCAAAATCGATCTACCAAAAACCTATTTAAATTAATACCGAATCGAAAGGTGATCGATCCCGTCTACCGAAATCGTATTCTTTAGAATATTTTCCATTTTTATAAACGAAAATTTAAGCCAGGAAACGTGTTTTTTTCGTGAGTTGTGAAATCGTTATTTACACAATCGCCTTTCCCAGAAATGATAAAACTCGACTCGCGCACTGCATAACATGGCGTCAGACGTATCGATCGAGCGGCTGACGGTGAGTCCGTTTCCATGGAGACAACTGCCGTTGGGGCTCCCGAAAATGTTCCCGAACGGGCGACTCCGTGGCACAGTAGCACGGGACTGATCGATGTTCGGTCGGGGAGATTTAGGTTAAGGCAACCATAGTTATGAGGCCGGGGAGGAGGAGGAGGAGGAGGAGGAGGAGGATGGAGAAGAAAGTTCATTGAACCTATGCGCTGGCTTCGACTAGACGCAATTTTCTTTCTTTCTTTTTAAAATATATATATATTTATTTATCTCTTTATTAATTCGTACCGATCGAAAATTCGATCGTTTTTATTAAATAAACGAGTTCGTTGCACCGATCATTCTATCAGAAATCGATAACGCCAAATGTATTTACACTGAAAAATAAAAAAAAAAGACGATCCGCACGTGCGGTCGAACCACCCCGAATGGCGTGACCTTGACAAATGTGCCCAATTATAATCTGTCCAGTTTCCTCTCCCCCCCCGTTTATTTTATTATTTTATTTTTTTCATTACCTGTTCTGCAGACTTTACTTTCTCCATTGTTCATCCAATGACCCAACGTCGGCGGTGATTACCGCGTAAGAAAATCTGGTTTGGGTACCATTTACTCTATCCACTTTTACACGCGCTACAGAATAAATATTGCACACGTAACACTTGTAAAATCTTATTTTATGTAATTTTTTTTTGTGTTGTTCTTGATGATAGGTTCGGAAGGGGGAGTAAATCTATGGAGGTTTTTTTTTAGAGCGGCGTACATTAGTATGGAGTCAAAAAAAAAAAAAGGAGAAACACACTTCTTTCTTTATGGGTTTCTTACTGCAAATAGATCAGCTTTGCCGACTGAGGTTACTTGACGCCTGTAATATCGATTTTCGTTATTTCTCTTTTGGTAGGGCTTGCCAGTCAAACCCATTTCTGAAAATCGTCTAGAAACATTTAATACGTTGGTTTGGACTGGGTGGAAGGGAGGGAGGGAGGGAGGGAGGGAAAAGGTTGATGTTTGTAAACAGTTTCACTGCATATTTTCTTACTCTACTCTCTCCCTTTCCCCCATATTTTGTACGACAATTTATAAAGTAATGTGTTTTGCACTTCGAATTTTATTCTTTAACCTCATTTCGTAGTTTATGATGAAAGTTCCAGGTGTGTTTTTATAGTTTTAAGATAAATATTTATGATCCATTTAGAGTGAAATAGGTTTTTTTTTTCTTTTTTACCTCCTCTTCTGAGTACACTGGATGGAATGATTTAATATTTTAATTCGTTTCTTTAAAAAATAAAAGTAAAAAAAAAAACAGTACGAAGTAGAAGATTCTTATCGGAATAAGTTGTAAATCATGTAGAAAACATGTTTAAAAAAAAAAACGAAAGTAGAATAGACAAAAAGATCCTGTGAGAGGGCCTCCGACCACTCTTGGGTCTGTCAGTTGTCGGTTTGTGTTCCTAGATCTGACACAGCGTGGGCCATTAGAAGCCCTCTGAGCTCTACTCCCAACAGTGCTACATCTATATCTAGCCCCACATCCGTCAAACTACTGGATTGGATTAAATTCTAGATGACATTTTAGAGTTTCCTCCCGAAAATTACTTTGCAAATCATTCGAAATTTTCTACTTGATACCGTTTCCAGTTACGAAAATAACCATTAATACGCGCTTTAAAGGTGGAAGAACATCCAAAAAAAACATCTGATCGATTTAACAACCACGTGATTGAATGACACGTAACGTGATCGCCGAGAGTAATGTCCGATTTAAAAAACGATCACCGACCGTGCGAAAATGTTATCGATTTGTATCGATCACTTGTTATAATAATAATATAAAAAAAAAATCGCACGCTTCGACCGGAAGCTGGGTACAAAAAAATTAAAAAATACAAATTTATCATCCGGATTTATTCGTAGTATTTATAGTAGTATTCTTTGCACGTGCTTAGCGCGCGTATTCATTCTAATATAAGCGCACGTGTCGATCGCGCGCGCTCTTGTCTTTCATCCAAAATCGCACGTGTTAGACACGTGAGATGAAGTGTGAGAAAAATTTCTTTTTCTTTTTTTTTTTTTTTAAAGAAACGGGACCCGTGAGAGATTAAAATTCCAAGTTAATTAATTAATTAATACTCGTGTAGAAAAGTAGTTAATTTATTGATGAAGATAAGCGATGTTCCGTCTTCACTTTTATTATTAAAGTACGTTTGTTACATTAATTATTGGCTCCGTCCGATTAATTTGTATATAAAGTTTCGATCCGTATCCATTTTCAAAATTGCCAACCGGTCGATATTATAATGATTTTTAGAAGTGTAAAATAACGCGATTCTTTCGCATCTACGTGCCACCGATGACGAGCGAATTTCGTGAAAAAATCGTCTCGTTACCTTTAAAAATTCATGTAAAATATAATAAAATATTTATATAATTTTACGGTTATTATTTTTAATGTTATTTTTAACCATTCGGGGTTTTTACAGCGCGATTTTAACGTTGTTAAAGCGGCATTTTTTTGGTAATTAACACCGGAAAATATCAACAGAAATACAACTTATAGCAGCTTTAGTTTTGTAAAATAATAATAATAAAGTTGCAAATTTTTAGCAATTAATTACCGAAAAATATCAAACATAATTGCAATTTTTTTTTTTAATATTTAACTCCAAAAAC